GATAACAACGTCCACCGCACATCTGCTATCGAATTTATCGACAGTGCCATACATGTTTAAACCTATGGATTGGGCAGTGCTTCCCCGGCGCTCCAACCAATAGGCTCACCGTTAATAATGATGGGCTTTAGATGGACGGTCGTCCGGCGCACTGCCATCAGTGAACAGTGCAGTGCGAGGGGGAGGGGGCGCTGTGGGAAGGGCCGGGGCGGGAGCGGACGACAGCGAGCCCAATGGATTTCGACTGCAGCCGATAGAGGCACGCGATGCTTTTCTGACGGCGAGCAATTGCACTTTGCCAGCCGCCACTGGCCACCGTTTTTCAAAATAGATCGAAGGGCTCGATGGATGGCTGTAACCCAGTAATGAAAGATGGATGCCTGCGGCGCTGCGTGAAAAGCCGGGACGGCCGCTCAATGTCGCATTACGGTGGAACACGACAGCTTGGAGACGAAAATAGCCGCCCTTTCAATTTGTGATGGAGAGCGGTGACCTACAAACGAAGAGTGAGTTTAAAGTTATGGAGCAGGAAAGAATGTTTTCTGGAAAAAAATATCGTGCCAAGATTCACTTTAACCCTCGCCGGCACAGGGGGGGGGGGTTGAAGCAACCCCCTAAGGTTTTTCGCGAATAACTCGCGTAAAAAGCGGCCGATCGCGACGAAACTTTAAGTATCCTCGCATTGCTCAATTTTACACCTACCCTGAAAATTTCATGACCCTGACCCCAATGACCTTTGACCTGTGACCTCTTTTCCGTGACCATGTTGTGGCCGAAATCGCGATTCGGCGTATGTCGGCTCGCATTAACCGCGCGTTTGCAAGCTTTTCGTGGTTTCAAACGTTCAAACATGTGATTTAATGTTGCTCCCATGCATTAGGGTGGGTGTCAAGGTTACCTGAAGGTCAGGTCAGGTCATTGACCTTTGTTGACCTCGGTTCACTTTTTCGAGTTTGACATGTTTCTAGGCTAGTTTTTGGAGCTGAATTCGAATTTAGCAACCATTTGAACATTTACGAAGTAGTTTTGGTGCCTTCGTAACATGTTACGAAGCTGTCAGAGGTGGATGACAGGTACTACGAATACCCGTCACGACCCCTACCGGTTGACCTGACCTGACCTGACCTGACCCGACCTGGTCTAAACGCTTAACGACATCATCTGTGATCAAAACTAACACGATATTCGTGATCAGCATCCCGGAAACCCCCTTAGCAGCCACGCTTTACAACTTTCTAACAGGTCCCGATATTCCCGATTTTTGGGTCATTGACCTGACCTGGAAGGTCAACCGATGACCTAGGACCTTAAAATTGGGTATCATTGGCTTGTTCTCGTGACGGGCAACACGCTCGTTTTTTTCCGCGAAGCTCTAGCCCCATCAGGGACCAAACGCGAGGGGGGTCGTACCAACCAATCCCCCCCTTGTGCCGTCGAAGGACTCAAAATGGCCTGTGCCGGCGAGGGTTAACCTTTTATGGTTCCCTAGTGTATAAAACTGAGAGTGATCTTCTTGAGTCGCATTTGGGTGAACGATAAAATACAGTGAGCCTGGCATGCGTCGTTTAAATATGTAGGTAGTTCCGCAAATTCCGATATCATTCTTCAATATACTCCGTGCAATATTCTGCTACTGGTTGCTAGGCTACCCGAATAAAACAGACTTCAGCAGCGCTGGATGTCTGCTGCGATTTAGTTACCTTCCAGCTGTTTCCGAAGTATTTGGAGACTGTGGGAGCTGTTCGTGACGGCCTCATCGGGTTTTGCCGTGCTCAGCCCCGACTGCTCTGATGAGGTCCCTCTCTCCCTCCCCCTCCCTCCCTCTCTCTCTCTCTCTCTCTCTCTCTCTCTCTCCTCTCTCTCTCTCTCTCTCTCTCTCTTCCTCTCTTTCTCTCCCTTCTCTGACAGCCATCCCGCTCTCTGCTTCCCAAGTCACAACAGACCGTCTGCCGACATTATAGCCGATATCAGATTGTGTCACCGCACCGCGAGCACGCTGAACAGTATACAGTTCATACCTACCGTGAATAAAAGTGACAAAATGACTGGCTTATAGTTCCCGATTTGGACACTCACAATAACGAGAATAGCTTTAATTCAGAGATATTTAATTTCAAACTTGCAAGTTGTATTTTTCATATACTAAGGAGTTAATGCATTTGAATGCCCCCTTAGAATTTGTGATATCAGTGTAGATCTAGCGATTTTTAAATATTATACCATACAAATCTATATTATGATTTATGGTATGTTAAACAAGCATGGAGGTGGCTGAATTCAGAGTCCCGACCCTCGCAGCCTTGGAGCAAAGCTGGACATTACCCAATTGAGACACTCTCTGTGAGCCTGAGTGTCTGGTGAAAGTACTAAGACAAACAGCAGATGTAATGTTTTGACACTTTTGCTGAACTTACCTCTCTCAATCGGGTGAGTTCAACTAAAACGTCTAAAACAGTCAACCTCAGCTGAGGGTTAAGCGCCTAATAGCCAGCCAGCTCAAACCATGAAGCAAGAGTTTTGCTTTAACTTTTTTTGTAAGTTTATCATTATTCGTTGTCTGCGGTCACTCGGTGTCGGTGGCACATTACCTGTGTGGTGATTGAAGTCGCTATTCAAGATCCCCAGCGCCATCTATGCTGAATGAGGGGTGGTAATGCATTGAAACGTAGGTAAGCACTACTTCCTACAAATAGAAAGCATTTTAGCTGTCTTTCAGTGGCAATGAGCACCAGCGGTGTAACTTTCTATATGTATGGGGGTGCAGGTGCACCCCCATCCCCTGAAAGTGCACCCCCATCACGTCAAAGTGCACCCCCATAGGCTAAGCGGCGCCCCACACGCTGCCCGACACCGATAAGCTCTTGAGCAGCAGATGGTGAGGGTGATATCCCGGCTACATTCCGTCTCGTGACCGGCGTCGTGCTGCCTGCGGGCTTGGAAAGCGTCCAGTCGTATCGCTCCCCAAAAATGGGTGAAAGGGGCACCCCGGCAAGAACGGGACTTTCTCAGCAAAAGTGGAGCGCCCGAGGCAGAAGTGGGGCACCTCCAACGTAGGTTGGGATCGTCAAGCATAAGACTGGCGCCCCAGCGGAGGAGAGGCGCCCCTAGTAGGAATGAATGAGGCCCACAAGCAGAACTTGGATTCGCCCAGTAGAAGAGCGCCCTCAGTAGAACACGGGCGACCCCAGCAGAAAGGGGCGCCTCACCAGCAGAGGGGCGCCCTACCAGAAGAAGGGCACCCCAGCAGAAAGGGGGCGCCCAACCAGAAGAGAGATGCCTCCAGCAGAAAAGGAGCGCCCTCAACACAGGAATGGCCACCCAGCAGAAAGGGGGCGCCCCACCAGAAGAGGGATGCTTCCAGAAGAAGAGAGGCACTCCAATATAATTGGGGCTACTCAAGCAAAAGTTGGGCTCGTCCAGTAGTAGTGGGGCGCCCCCAGCAGAAGAGTACCCCCAGCATAGGGCCGCCCCAGCAGAAAGGGGCGCCCTACCAGGAGAGGGATGCCTAAAGAATAGAGGCGCCCCAATACAAAAGGGGCACCTGGAGCAAAAGTTGGGTTCGTCCAGCAGCAGTGGGGCCGGGGGCGCCCCCAGCAGGGGCGTCCCCAGCGGCCCCGACGGAAGTGGGGCATCCCCAGCAGAACAGGGGCTCCCCAGCAAAAGAGCAATGCCCCCAACAGACATTGCCGAGCACCTTCAGCAGAAGAGTACGCACCCGCAGAAGAGGGCGGTTTCAACAGAAGAGGGGCGCCGCCACCAGAAGATGGGCGAGGGCGCCTCCAGCAGAAGAGGGGCAGCCCCGCAAAAGAGGGGCGCTGCCCGCAGAAGGGGGCGCATACAATAAAAATGGGACACCTCAAGCGGCAGTTGGGCTCGCCGAGTAAGAAGGGCGCCTCTAGTAGAAAAGGTCGAGCGACTTAAGCAGAAGTTGGGCTCGCCCGGCAGAAGAGGGACGCCTCTAGAAAAATAGGGCATACCCGGGAAGGGAAGTGTCAGTCTCCAGCAGAAAAGTGTGAGACCCCAGCAGAGGAGGAGCGCCCATCAGAAGCAAGTCCCGCCGAGCAGAAGAGGGGTGACCTCAGCAAGAGAGAGGCGACCCCAGCAGAAGAAAGGCGCCCAATAAAAGAGGTGATTCCAGCAAAAGTGGGTGTCATCAGTCGCCGAGCGTAAAAAGGGCACCCCGATTCTATAAAATTTCGGAATGAAAAAGCTAAATGCAATTTCGTTATAAATTTGATTGATTGATATTCGTGCAAACGAATTTAATGTCATTTTGTAATACCCAATTTTGTACCATTGGACTCTAACATTGGGGTGTTTAGTGCTCTTACAATTAAAATTGCACATGAAAAAAATATTCATTTTATTTGAAAAGTTCTTGTACCTATAAGTAGAAGCCTTGACACCCGTTTATCGGTGCGCCGGATAGAGGGCCTTGGGTTAATATAAATGAACTGCAATCCCATTTGCAGCATCAGACTGTGTTCAAACTAAATTGGAGGAACACAAAATGGTGATCACTCTTAGGTCTGAATTTCGAAATATACCAACAAACATTTTATTTTAGCATTTACCGAAGCATTTTACCGAAATTGAGAGACATTAAAATGGTGATAACGACTCACTGGATCGTATTTGAATGAAACATGCTGCGTAAACAAAAATGGAGCATTTAATGCTTTGAAAATTGAACGGGAACTGAAGAAATTGTTTTATCATGTATCGACAGAAGCTAAGTTTCAAGTCGACCGAAATATAATCACGTTGGGGAACTTTTTTGGCTGGGGTCTGTGGTCCTTCGGCATGGAGGGCCCCAGTTTGCAGGTCGTGCCCCCCCCCGTTAAAAAATCCTGTGTGCGCGCCTGTTGAGAGATATGCACCATGTATACTCCTTGGAAGCGCCCCTATCCTCACTGAAGGTCGCCCCCATCACCAAGTGCACCCCCATCTCAAAAGCAAAAGTTACACCCCTGATGAGCACAGTCTCAACAAAACGCTCGTTAATACCCAATGTTTGTATTTTATCAAAATAATATCTCTGGTATCTGACGTCAGGCACATACGGTTGTACCCCGGACGCGTTGGATCCTAAGACAACTCATTGCTAAGTCGGAGACTAAGGGCTCATTTGTCAGCATCCTTCTTCAGCTTAGCCAGGGCTGTTAGGCGAGCGTCCCTCCAGGCACGGCGCTCCTGAAAAAAAATACGAGCCACTTTGTTAACACTAAAGGTCAGTTAAAACTTAACACCATACCAAAAACTAAGCCAACACAGCAGTCTACCAGGCTGCAAGCTTCAAGTTCCCTTGCCGCAGCGCCTCTAGCGGCAGAACTCTGAAGCAGTAGATCAGTTTCGCGGTCGAGCTGACCAAATGGAGCCACCGTACTGACAGAAGATGGAAGGCTAACTTCATAGTTCACAACCATGTCGTTGCCTATGGCTATGCTTTTGGTTGTTTCGTTCACCGGCGCCGGCTCCCACCTGCAGTTTCTCCAGCGGGACCATCGCTGTCAGCTGGCGATGGATCTCCTCAGCCTGAGCGCCGCCCCAGTGTGGGATGGGCCCCAGCGTCTTGGAGACGCCCTCAATAGTCGAGCCGTACCGTTCGCAGTAGTTGAGCATGCCTGGAACGGTGTTTGAAAGCCGGGGTATCATTAGATCAACCGCTCATTGTTTGCTATTTGTGCGAGCCATTGATAAACAATAATGTGACGCACTTATTCACGTAATTCAAGTGCTGCATTTCAAATCATGTAGATATGAGCCATATCCCTTATTTCCCTATTCCTAAGGAAATGCAAATTAGTTTGACCATTCGCGAATTATATCCGACAAAACCAATGCATAAGTTGAGACTTCGCCGCATTCAGTGACCTGACACGATAACATCCTCTAGAGTCTAGGTCGACGTACCCTCAGCGTTAAGATGTGCCGTTTCCAGCGGACCCATGAAGGCATACCGAGGGCCCAGTCCGTCCTTCATCACAGTATCGATGTCCTCTGCGCTCAGCACGCCCTCAGAGACGAGGTACAGCACTCGTTTAGGATGGCGTACCTGCACGTAGGCGGAGGAGCACGAGCATATTATGGAGACACCGTATAGGGAAGTGGGGATGTAATAAGCTAGTAAGATAAAAAAACTGATTTGCGTAATAGTGCTGGTGAGGAAAACGACAAAGCAGTCGAGAAAAATAAATATAAGAAAATACAACAAAACGAAACAAACTAATCAATAGTCATGATTACAAGTTATGATGTGATGTTTTGTTTTGATGTTGATGGATTCAACAATATACATATAAGGTACACGAAAAAAACATGATTATCACAGATTTGGCACCGTCATAATGATACTAGCATATGCGTTATTAACACGTGCAGCTTGTAACAAATAATAACCGATTCAACGATAAAAACAATATTTTGAGTTATTTAGCCAATTCTGAATCAATAAGCACATTGATACTATTAATCCCTTCGCCAGTTCTTACTGGATCCTATTGAGGGCAAAGCCTGGCATCTCTTTGTTGAGGCTGATTGGTGACTGTCCGATCTCGATCATCAGCTGGCGAGTTTGGGTCACCGCCTCCGGGTCAGTCCAGGGGGCCGGAATCAGCTCCACCAGAGGCACATAATAGGGCGGGTTCACCTGGAAACGGCGGCAGAGGGAGCATTGGAACAGTTTGACTGCATCACAGGCACTAGGCAGGGAGGGTGCTACATCGAAACAGTCCGCCTGTGACCGGCGAGGGGGTCATATGCACGCAGGTGGGAGAATTAACATGAGTTGGTCCATGTACTGGTGTATAGTGGTTATATGGGATGGCTGGGTTATCTGTCAACGGCGGGGCAGGTCGGCGGGTTTTGTCGCTTTATGGTAAAAAAAAAAAAAAACAGCGATACGGGCAAGGCTGACGGCATGGACGGACTAAGTCAATAAATAGGGCTCCACCCATGGAAATTGTAAGGATTTCTTATAATGGCGGTAATATGCCTCAACAGACGGCAAAAACAACCATGTGAAAAATTACTTAAATCGATAAGAAAACTAAACGATAGCATTAGTTTTGGTTGAAGAGTCTGCTGATAATTGTCACAAAATACAAACGTAGTATGCCAGCTATGGGCAGCATTCACATCAAAGTGTTACTTCAAGGTTGGGCTGGCACAGTCTGGGCACGCGTTTACGTTATATAAATATGCATATGGCTCGACCGTTTATCCAGTTTAAATGTTTATTGATACAGCCAAGCCTCTCGACAAAACTGCCTTATCATACCAGAGTTACCAAGCTCGAAACGCAGTCCCACGCATGACATCGAGTCTAGTGATGTCGCAGACAATCAGGAAACCGATATGATAACCATGAACCAACCAGGCGTAAACAGAGTTGGATTATTGAGAGAAATGCCAACTTTTACCAAATTCGAAACATCTAATGCATCAGTGATGCTTCAAGAAGACCGCCAAAAATGAAAAATATATGGGAAATAACCAGATGCTAAATCCACATCGGGTTGATACTGATATACGGAAAAGTTGGTATCCGACTGACATCTAACGTCGACCTACAATAAGGTACTTACCGGGTGCGCCACGAGGCAGCGGCTGCGGTGTTTGAGATTCTGGGTGAATTTGGAGGCAGCGATACAGGAGGTGGAGGAGCACATCACCGTGGTGCCGTCCACCAGAGCGTCCAGCTGCTCGAACATCTTCTGCTTCAGTTCCACGCTCTCGGGGATACACTCCTGGACGTGCACGGCGCCAGAGACGCAGTCGGAGAGCTCGCTGGCACCTGTTGGGAGGGGTCAGGTCAGGTCGCGCCAGCTATACTTCGGGGCTAAGGGCGAAAATCAGAGAGTCAAGACAGATGTTTGCCGTTTGGGCATGAAGTGTACTCGAGAGACGGTGATGTAAAAATGCAGGTAGGAGCATAGACCGTCGCACCTCGAAATGAAAATGGTTTGATGGATGAGCTCAAATTTTTCGAGCAGCAAGTTCAGCTGTAACACGGCCAACACGGGTTTGCAGCCTGGAGATGAGTGAATAAGGAAGTGCAGGGGCACGCTTCAATACGCTTCAAATGGGTGACATTTCACATCGCTGTATTTAACCAACCCGTCACTGCTGCCCGACAATAACCCCTGATCAGCAGGCAGTGCGCCAGTGAGGCACCTGCGGACGCCACAGTGAGTGGGGCGCTGACCTGTGATGAGTTCCATCTGCTGCTGAGCCGAGAGAGTGCCCCTGAGCAGACCACTGGCACTCAGTCGCTCCAGTTGGCCCTTGATATCTTCCAGCGCACTGGGAATCTGGAGGACAAGTCTGGAGGTCAGTCAGAAGCAGTGATAGCCGTTTCTTTATTTAGCGAGGGACCCTTGGGACTGTCGATTTTTCGTAGAATGAGTGAACTGCAAAAAGGAAATCGAGTAACATTATTCTAACGCTCGTGCTATTCGCTCACTGGAGTAGGTACAATACAGTAAAGGTGGCGTACAAAATTTGTCACATTGAATTGTACGGCCCTCCAGTATTTAGTGTTTGGTTGCCAACATCACAATAAGCGATCTGCATTGATGAATAGGTACGTCTAATGGCTGTTGAAAACCATTGCCGAAGTGTGCACGAACCCTCTTCTCATTTCTATTGACTCATTTTACAGGAGTGTCTCTGTCATTCAAAGTTATTACACCAAAAGCACACAGGCTAACCAACCATTATTTTGCTGGAGGGCCGTACCTAAAACCTTTAGGGCCGCAATACCTGAAGGACCTATTATTTTAGACTAGAGGTACAGGTTTACGCGATAACTGTATGTTTTGATTAATTATATGTGACGGATGCATTAGTTGGGTGGTAGCTTGTATTTTAGCTGTATATTTGGGTAGATTTGGGTAGCTGTTTTTAACCCACGAGCCGCTGGGGGGGGGGGCATAAAGTTGCCCCCCCTTTACGTTTTGTGAAATATCTCCGAAACTGATGAGCTACGAACGTGAAACTTGGCATAGCTTCAAATGATACCTAGGCAATGTTTGAGGAAAGTTTGGTGGTTGTAGCACCTAAGATGACGTCACAGTGACGTCATAAAGTTTTGTCATTTTCCGATATGGACCGTTTCTGATGACGCTGAGCATGAAACTCGACTGTAATGACTAGACAGCCCTGCTGTCATCCTAAAACATCTTACTCCACTTCCATCTAGTTTCTGACCAATAATCGGCCCTTATATTCGGTCCCATATATGTTGATGTATCGTGAGGAATATGAGGTCGCAAATCTATAATTTCACTTATGACGTCACTGTGACGTCATTTCAAATGGGATCGACACCAAATTTGGACACAACCTCGGCTAGGTATTTAGAAGATGTGTGCAAAGTTTCGCTTCTCTATCTCTTCGCGTTGCAACGATATCGTCGCAGAAGTAAAGGGGGGGCAACTTTATGCCCCCCCCCCCCAGCGGCCGGCGGGTGGCGCGGAGGCCCAGCGGCCGCCGGGTTAATCAAAAGCGTAGTTGCGGAGTGTCCAATCTTTTGTATGTTAGGCCCTTTTTTTT